CTGCCTTCCGGCTGCCAATCGACTGCCATTCGGCTGCCTTTCGGCTGCCTTCCGGCTGCCAATCGACTGCCATTCGGCTGCCTTTCGGCTGCCTTTCGGCTGCCTTCCGGCTGCCAATCGACTGCCATTCGGCAGCAATCTATAAAGCTACTTCCTGCAGCAGAAGAAACAAAATGCATTCGCAAAACCAAAGTGTGACCTTATGCATAGAATAGACAGGGCACACCTGACATTTATAAAATAATGCAGTTTCTGTAATTTTAGCCGATGTGTTTTTTTGTGATTGTGTTATGATTGACTAAATGTTCCTGTTGGAAGAGAAGAAGTGTATTGAATAATTATTTGATTTTATTAGACATAGTGTGTTGTGTTAGTGTATTATTCTATTTTGTAAATTAGCTTTGGAGTTTTGTTTACAATGTGTGAATTTGAAAATGAAATTAACCGTTTTGTGTTGTGTGTTTTAGGGTTTTTGGTGCATTAAGAGTTTAGGAAACCTGTTAAATGTATAGAAAACTCTGTCATAGCAATAAAAAAAACCTGTAATGTTTCTATTCAATTCAGTTTATTTCTATAGCTCCAATACACATCATGTAATCTCAGGTCACTTTCCAGTTCATCAGATCATCCATTGACTGTTCAGCAATCCCTCACACTAAGCATGCTTGTAGCGACAGTTGTTACGTCCCCTGGTTGAGTCTAGGGGGTGTAAGGGACCAACATAAATGTAGACAGTGAATGAAGGAGTCAAAGGGGCATTTAAAAGTTTTCTTGTTAATAAATGATGGTAAAAGCTTCAGGGACAAAATAACAAACAAAACAACCCTAAAGAAAAAAGAAAAGTGGACTTACCTAACTCAATATGAAACCAAAATATACAAACCTACAAAATAACCTACCTAACCAACACATAAACAGGAGAAAACTGGGGTTAAACAAAAGGGCCGCTCTCCCCTACAAAATCATCCAAACAGGTCTACCTAACAGCCCATTAGATTGAACAAGGATCACAGAGATGTACGGCAGACAAATGGCTCAGAGGCCCTGAAGAACTGCTTCACAGGCCTTAAATAGTCTTCAGGTGATCTTGATTGGACTGAGACTCAGGAAGCAGCAGCCAGTTTTAAAGGCGGAGCCTAAAACAGAGCAAGGAGTTAATTGGATGCAAAAACAAAGACGTCCAACTTGGGGATGTAACACAGTGAAGAGGAAAAACTCCCTTCTACTGGAGTATTAAACATTAATACTTATGACAGCTCTGCTAGGAACCAGCTGGACTGTTGAACCTGTTCAGGAATGATTGTATTTCTGTGCATTATGGGATCGGCTGTCTTTCGTAAACATCGAATAAACTGAATTAGCTGTAAAATCACACAGATTATGGAGTCAAAATGTTGCATTTGCTCATTTAATTTAATAAAACGCTTAGTTATGGGCTAAACCACATATCAGGTGTCCCCCCCCACCCACCCGACCTCGCCCAGGGAGAGCTGGTCTCCAGGTGTTTGCTCGGCCCCTCCCTCCGCTCTCCTCTTTGTTCCCCACATAGACAGAAACCTAAAACCAGGTCTGAGTGTCTGATGAGACAAAAGTTCACCTGTTCCCTCGCTCCATTTCTCATAGCTGTGGTCACACCGCTGATCCAACGCCGCCAGACTGCATCAAATGGTGTCTGATTGTTGGAGCTAAATGGTAGCAGTCACTGGAAACCGGCACGACAACAGAAACCGAAACACCGCTGACAGCTTTTAAACGTTTTTTTTTTATTCTTTCTTTGCTTTAGAACAAGGAGAAGGAGCGCCTGAAGGAGCGCGAGAAGGAGACGAGAGAGCGGGAGGCGCGTTCCAGCAGCGGTCACCTCTTCACCTCGCTGAGCGTGTCGGCCACCACGCTCTGCTCATCCTGCAACAAGAGCATCACAGCCAAGGAGGCGTTGAGCTGTCCAGGTAAGCACACCTGAGCCTGCTATGATCCTCAGAGTGAGAACAACGTTTAATAGTAAATCAGAAGCAGAATCTTTTTTTTGTTTGTTTTTTACTTTTACTGTAACGATAATACAGGAGAGCAGGATAACATTCAATAAAGCAACAAATCTAAGGTGAGGATTTAATGTAGGGTGGGTTGCTGGTCCTCCTCATTTTATTAGGCCTGGATTTTAATCCAGGTGAGTCAGGTTTAGGTTAGGACAGGTGTAAGGCTGCAGGAAGAGCTGAAAAAGAATGAAAGTTAAAGGAATCTCTTCAGTAAGTCTATCAGGACCATTTCTCTTATTCCACCATCAAACTGGCTCCCTTTTTCTTTATTGCTAACGATGAGTATTAGGACTCATGGTGCTGTCACACCAAACAGATTCCAGCAATTAATTCGCCCGACTCGAGTACCATCTATCGCCCGACATATAAACATGGAGGATGACAAGGTTAGTCCTGTCGCCTTACAGCACCGTCCAAT